TGACTCAAACAGTTAAATACAACATTAAAGGTCAATGAGATACAAGAGTCATTTTATACTACTAAATCAGAAGAAAATGTTTACAAAAACATGAACTTCTATCCAACTTACAGTCCAAGAGGAAAATCTCTATTTGCTAGCAGTACAAATTGGCATGACATCCTTGGTGCTAGAGTAAAACAACACACATCAAAATTCATAAAAACATTCATTAACATAAATATCCTTCAACATAATATCATACTCCAAAATTTATGTTACAGATATAGTCAGAAGGGGTGTGTGTGTGTGTGTGTGTATGTGTGTGCGTGTGTGTGTGTGTGTGCGTGTATTCCAGAGGTCCTGAGTTTAATTCCCAGCAATCACATGGTAGCTCACAACCATCTAGAATGGGATCTGATGCCCTCTTCGGGAGTGTAGGTGTACACGCAGACAGAACACTCATACATGCATACACATATCTTTTTTAAAAATGGCTAACTGAAAACCAGCCAGCAACATAAATAACTAATGCAAAAAGAGAGACATACATAATGCAGTTCAGTTGGTAGGATGCTGGTCTATCATGCACAAAGCCCTGGGTTCAGTTCCCACAGTGTGGTAGCTACACATCAGGAGGTGAAAGCAGGAGAGAAATTCAAGGTCATCTGAGGCCACAAAATGTGTCTGAGGCCAGTTTCCATGTGTGAATTAAAATTGTAATTTCTCACCCTGCCCTTGGTTTGTTTTTTCTGTCTAGCCAGCCATTGCTGTCTCATAACTTTCTGTCTTCGTTTGCATCCAAGTGCCGGGATTAAAGGCATGCACCACAATTCTCATCTTAAAATTATGAAATTTATAACATGAAATGTTCATCAGCATCTAATTAGTTTTTAAAGCATCAAAATATTACATATGATAACTTAAAGCAGATCAATGCCTAGCCCAATCATCATCAGGGAGCTTCATTCAGCAGCTCATGGGAAAGAAGCAGAGCCCCACAGCCAAACACTGGGTGGAGTTTGGGGAACCCCTCAGGAGATGGATAGGAGGGACTGTAGGAGTTAGAGGGGTCGAGGACACCAGGTGAACAAGGCCAACAGAATCGACTAAGCAGAGCTCATAGGGGATTACAGACACTAAAGCATCAAACACGGAGCCTGCAAGGGCTGGCACTAGGTCCTCTGCATGTATGCTGTGGTCAGCTTGGGGTTTCTGTGAGATTCCTAAACATGGGAGTGAGTGTTCCTCTGACTCTTATGCCTGCTCTTAGGACCCATTTCCACCTATGAGGGTTTATGTCTAGTCTTACTGCATCTTGTTATGCTGTTGATATCCCTGGGAAGCCTGCTCTTTTCTGAAGAGGAACAGAGGAATGGTGGACCTAGGGGAGAGGGGAGGTGGGAGGAAGGCTGGGAGGAGAGAAGGGAGGGGAGGTTATAGTCAGGTAGTCAGGGTGTATTTATGAGAGAAGAAAAATGAAAAGAGAGGAGAGGGGAGGGAGGAGGGGAGGGAAGAAGGGGGGATAGGAGGGAAGGAGAGGAGAGGGGAGGGGATGGGAGGGGAGGGGAGAGGAGAGGAGAGAGATAAAGAAAAGAAAAGAAAAGAAAAGAAAAGAAAAGAAAAGAAAAGGAAAGAAAAGAGAAAATTCCAGGGGCTGGGAAGATGGTTCATCAGTTAAGAGCATGCACTGTACCCGGGCAGTGGTGGCGCACACCTTTAATCCCAGCACTCAGGAGGCAGAGGCAGTAGGATCTCCACCTCAGTTTTCTTGTCTTCTTTTTTTTTTTGTTGTTTTGAAACGGTCAATCCTCCTGCCTCAGCTTTTCTAGTGTTGGGTTGGTCTATTAGATTTGTTAAAAAATATTTTAATAATTTATTTACTTTTATTTTATATGCATTTGTGTTTTGCCTGTATGTCTGTATAAGGATGTCAGATCCCCTGGAACTTGAATTACAGACAGTTGTGAGCTGCAATGTAGGTGCTGGGGATTGAACTTGGGTCCTCTAGAGGAGTAGCCAGTGCTCTTAACTGCTGAGCTATCTCTGCAGCTCCCTTTATTAGATCTTAGAAACAAAGTCTCACTATAGCTCAAGGTGGCTTGGGATTCCACATGTCGTCCAGCACCTTAGCTAGTAATTCTCCAGTCTTCCCAAGTACTGAGATACAAACATGGCCCTCTTTGCCTGTCTCCATCTTAGTTTACCAAGGACCAATAATTTACCTCAAATAGACTTCCAACCCTCTCCACATACCTACAAGAGATGAATGGCTCAAAATGCACACATACTCAAGAGACAAAGAAGAACAATCACAAGTTACTGTAATGACTAGGGAACCATGATCACGTGTAAACTTCAAAAATACACAGGTTTGGTGTGTTCATATCTCTCGGAGTCACAAGAACATCATGCTGACTCAGCAATGGGCTGTTACAGTGAAAAGACAGGCAGGTTCAAGGACATATCAAAGAACCAGGGGCCAGGAAGTGTAAGTTAAACAGACAGAAGATCCAGGTGTGCTCGCACACTCTGCTAATACTAATTCTCAGGAGAGGCACAGACAGCAAGAGTCCAGGTTTGAAGTCAGCCTAGACTATATTACAAAAATTAGTCAAAAAGAAAAGAAATGTGCATTCACACACAGTAAAAGTGACTAAAAACTCAAGCTATAACAAATGATAAAAAGTAGCCAGCAAATTCTTATAAATATTACCAACCAGAGTTCAAATGGCAAGATAGCATGGCTTCCTGGAGAGGAGGATGCCTAACAAAAGGCTAGTACTGAAAATAAATGGAAAATAAGTTTAGAGCCAGTGACAGCTAATGCATCTTGTGTGCTCACAGCCCGAGGGCCCATCCCAGAACCAAAATAAGAAATCTTGGTGCTAATGACGTACGGAAGAACACTAAGTCTTCCAGGAACTCGGGTTATAGTTACAGGAAAGTTCTTGACTGGCATGCACAAGGCTTGTGTTCAATCCCTAGCATTGCAAAAGAAAAACCAGGGGGCTGGAGAGATGGCTCAGTGGTTAAGAGCATCGCCTGCTTGTCTAAAGGTCCTGAGTTCAATTCCCAGCAACCACATGGTGGCTTACAACCATCTGTAATGAGAGATCTGGTGCCCTCTTCTGGCCTGCAGGCATGCATGTAGGCAGAATGCTATATACACAATAAATAAATAAATAAATAAATAAATAAATAAATAAATAAATAAATAAATCTTTTTAAAAAAAGAAAAACCAGGAACGAAACGGGGATCCAGGAAGACCAGGCTAGATTCCCCTGCTATTGCCCCCCACCATCCTCACCTCTGAATGCTGGGTTTAAAGGCATGCATCACCATGCTCACTTAAAACTATGAAGTTTATAACATGATAAAAGTTTTTTTTTTAAGAAAAAAAGTTTTTAAAGCATCAAATTATTACAAATCATAACTAAAGTATGAACATTTTGAAATGCAATACTAAAAAGAAAAGCTACTGTTTCTGGGTAATAAACCCAAACACTGAACAATTTCAACACTAAGAAAGTGTGTTAAGAGATAGATAGATAGATAGATAGATAGATAGATAGATAGATAGATAGATAGATAGATAGATAGAGAGAGAGTGTCTTTGCTGGCCTAGAACTTGCTATGCAGTTGAAGCTAACCTTAAATTCCCCACCCTTCTGCCTCAGCCTCCTGATTACTGAGATTTAAGATATATACCAAGCACACCTGGCTCTCACCTTTTCTATTATAACATCAAAGACCAAGAGAATGGACCAAGAATATTGGCTAACTCTCTTTAGTTAGTAGGCATTTCAGCAAAATGTAAATAATCTGAGAGGTAGATAGCGTTAAATAAAGGCAATATAATCCTTAGGAACAAAGTCCCACCTTTTGTTTCTACTGGAATAGCCTCAGTATCTCAGTCCTCAAAACTGATTATGAACATAACAGACATGTATTTTATACAATCAGTCATCCATGACACAACGTAAAGAGTAGATATTGAGGAAAGCAGCTCGGACTTTAGTCTTCAGAAAACAAGGTGACTAGCACTTAATGCTGACATAGATGCTGACAGGAACCCCCATCACAGGAGACAAACTGAGCCTCAGTGCCTTCCTAACTCAAAACCAAAGTGCAGGAAGAACCTCCCTCCCACTGCCCTTGATCTCTGAGCACTAGTCGGACAGGGCAGCAGGAAGTGCCTTGAGCTATCTTTGTCTAGTCTGTGCAGAAGCAGCCAATTCAGGTCCTACAGCCCCAGGCTGCCTGCTTTGCCTGGCTGTTCATTCCACCCTGCCCCACAGCATCTTTTCTGGCCAGACTTGTCAAGATGTAATCTCCAAACATCACCAAGGTACAGTGACACATAGGTATAAAAATGTCACAATGAGGGACAAGAGAGATGGCTTAGCACTTAGGAGCACTGGTTGCTCTTCGGGAGGACCTGAGTTCAAGTCCCAGCAACCACATGGCAGCTCACAACCATCTGTAATGGAATCTGATAACCTCTTCTGGTGTGCAGGCAAACATGCAGAGAGAACACTCACTCATACATTAAAAAGATTAACAGATTTAAAAAAAAAAAAGTCATGGGGGCTGGAGAGGTAGTTCAGAGATTAACAGCTCTGACTGGTCTTCCAGAGGACCCAGGTTCAATTCCCAGCATCCACATGGCAGCTCCAACTGTCTGTAACTCTAAGATCTGACGTCCTCACATAGACATACATGTAGGCAAAATGCCAAAACACTTAAAATAATTAATATAAGTGGTAGGCAGTGGTGGCACATGCCTTTATTTCTATAATTCTAGCACTTGGGAGGTAGAGGCAGGCAGATCTCTGTGAGTTTGAGGACAGCCTGGTCTACAGGCAAGTTCCAGGACAGGGTCCAAAGCTACAGAGACACCCTATCATACCCCCCGCAAAAAGTAAAAAGACAGTTTCTCCTGTCCCCCTGTCCCTTCTTCATGCATGGTTGAGGTTTTTTCTCCTTTGTAACCCTCTCCTAAGCCATCTATACTCACCTGCAGTTCACTGCACTGGGTATCACCCAAATAGCCCATCAGATCTCTTTATAATTTCTGAAAGAGAGAAAAAAAAAGCCTTTAAATACCACAGATTGGCAGGTGTGGTAGCACACGCTTGGAAAGACTAAGGCAGGAGAGTCTTGGATTTGAGGTCAGCCTCGGCCATATATCAAAACCCTGTCTCCAAGAAATACACACACAAAAAAAAATTATCAATCACTATATCATTTCAGAGCATCTGTATTTACTATGCACAGCATCTGGCCTCTCTGTCCCCAGTAACACAATCAGATCTAGCAGAACCAGCCATGGACTAAAGGCCTTGACACTGCCTCTAGACATAAAAGCTTTCCCACTGCTACTGCTGAGCTGTGCAACCTCGGGCAAGTCAGCTTCTCCAGGGCTACATCCCTCATCTGGAAAATGAGAAAGACAGGAGTAGAGTGCTGGTCTAGCATTCATAGAGTCCTGAGTTCAATACCCAGAACTGGCATGGTGACGCAGGCCTACAATCCCAGTACCCAAGAAGTAGAGGCAGGAGGATCAAAAGTTCAAAATTGGGAAAGGAAAGATGTTTCAGAACTTGCTGTTCTTTCAGAGGATCAGGATTCAGTTCTCAGAACCTACATGGTGGCTCGCACTATCTGAAACTCCAGTTCCAGGGGATCTAGAGCCCTCTTCCTTCTCCAAGAGTACCAGACATGCATGTAGTACATACATATAGAAAAAAAATTCATATACATAAAATAAATCTGAAAATTTTTATTTAAAAATGTTTAAGTTTATGCTCTTAAAAAAAGTTTATGCTCAGCTACACAGTCCAAAGCCAACCTGGGCTACATAAAACTTATCTCAAAAATAATGAAGGGGGCTGGAGAGATGGCTCAGAGGTTAAGAACACTGGCTACTCTTCCAGAGGTCCTGAGTTCAATTCCCAGCAACCACATGGTGGCTCACAACCATCTGTACTGAGATCTGGCGCCCTCCTCTGGCGTGCGGGCATACATCAAGGCAGAATGCTGTATACATAATAAATAAATAAATCTTTTTAAAAAATAAAATAAAAATAATGAAGGAAAAAAAACAAGAAAGTAAAACTAACCAGAAAAAAGAGCAAAGTTTTCCAGAAAGAATACCATCAACACCATTCAATGTTCTTCTACTATGTCAGTTCACATTCAAGCCTAAATTCCTCCTTCCCAAAATGAAAATAACTGTCTTGTAAGATGCTAGACAATGGGCCCGACGGGTTATAAAAAATCCATAGTAAACATATGGGGACCTTATCATAGACTCCAACAATGGGGGCTGGAGAGATGGCTCGAGGCTAAGAGCACTGGCTGCTCTTCCAGAGAACTTGGGTTCAATTCCCAGCACCCACAAGACAGATCACAGTGCTCTGTAACTCAGTTCCAGGGAATCTGACGTCCTCATTCAGACATACATGTAGGCAAAACATCAAAGTATGTGAAAGAAAGAAAAATTTTTTAAAAATCTAACAATGGTAGTAGGGCATAGTGGCATATATATGCCTTTACTCCCAGTACTCAGGAGGCAGAGGCAGGATCGCTCTGAGTGAAAGGCCACTCTGGTCTAGAGTGAGTTCTAGGACAGCCAGGGCAATGTCAAGAGACCTTGTCTCAAAACACAATAAATAGATGAATGGATGGATGGATAGATAAGACAGACAGACAGATAGATGATCAGCAAAATAAAAACTTACCCAGCCTGACCTCAATACTAATTGTCTAAACATTTAATAGTTTGACAGTAGATTGTCACTAATGTTTAACGTCACAGCAGAGCAGAATAGACATCCTGTGTCTAGTTCAACAGCCATGCATTCTGGATTTCTCTCTCTACTTCTACTGTTGCCAATACACTATAGGATCAGAGGGGTCTTCCAAAACCTAAATGACAACCAGCTATTTACCAAGGCCATGCAGAAGAAGAGGGAGACTGAGTGAAAACAGGAGCTTGGAGGAGGGAGGTTTGGTTTTTAATCTTTTTCTTTTTTTGTTTTTGGTTTTTTGAGACAGGGTTTCTCTGTGTAACAGCCCTGGAACTCATTCTGTAGATCAAACTGGTCTCAAACTCACAAAGATCTGCCTACTCTGCCGCCCTAATACTGGGACTAAAGGCATGTGCCACCATCACCCAGTTAATCCTTTTCTTATTAATATGGGGGGGTGAATAGTATTTCTGTCTGTGTAAATGCCTCATGTGTGCAAGTACCACAGAAACCAGAAGAGCTGAAGTTACAGGCAGTTGTGAGCTACCCATGTGGGTGCTGGGTACTTAACTATTCTTACCCACTGAGCCATCTCTCCAGCACCACTCTTAGTCTTTGTTTTATATACTCAAGTGTTGCTCAATTTAACTTACCATATGCATGCATGATTTCTGTGCAATTTTTCCAACTATATTATTTATAAATATACCTGACAGGCTGTGTTTACAAGAAATTTTCTAGCATAAGGTATATTTCCACAAAGGAAAGTGAAAAAGCAAATTCAGACGTGATAAGAAAACTGAAAATGTGGCATAGAAATAAAACTCACAATCATTCACACTTCAGAGTGGATCAGTCCAAAAATGTGATGCGTACAGGAGAGATGGCTCAGTAGTGGGTAAAGGCACTCGCTGCACAAGACTGACACGTGAGTTCAATCTATAGAGCCATGTGAAGTTGGAAGGAGAGAGCCAACTCCAAAGTTCTCCTTTGGACAAGCACATGTATACACGAACCCTAAAACTTTTAGATATGTATGTATATACATTCATATATATGTATACATATATATGAAACGCTACTTTTTATTCAAAAGCTAGACAAATTCCAGTTTCACCAGACTCCCTGTTCTTAGAAAACGAACCCAGACTGATTATAAGTATACAGAGTTGATGAGACTTTTGAGTTAAATTGGAAACTTTCAAATTCTTTCAGATGACTGAAAGTGTAACAAACACTTGACAGATATATAAGTATTTACATGTGTAACATATGCAACTGGTCTTCATGATTTGTCAGTGATAAGTTAAAAAGAGGAATAATGACTATCTGATTCAGGATTTTCAAGGGTTATGTCAGCCACCCCTGAAGTGGCAGAGAAGGGTTTTGTGCCATTGCTCACTCATGCTACAGAGGTAACCCTGACACACCAGTGCCATGAAGAGACAGGCAAGCCGGTGTGACACTCTCTCCATGTTACACTTCACTTGTAGAAAACATTTCAAAACACTACTTAGCAATCCAATTACATTTGCAAGTATGTTTACCTAAGTTCATGAAAATAAACAACCCTAAGAACCTTATTGCTTGCACTGGGCCTGCATTTGGATCTGAAGTAGTGAGTGACAGACAATTACAGGCTGATTTGCATTCAGTGGTACTGTCAGGCTACCTCTTAGACACAGGTGTGTTTCTAAGAGTTAGCTGACTTCCCTGAGGGTCCCTCTGCACTACACTCAGCTTTTTGTGAAAACATTACAATTTTTTGTTCCTTTCTAGACTTTTTCTATTTAGTGTGTATGAGTGTTTTGCCTGTACATTTGTCTATGCACCACATACATGCCTGGTGCCCAGAGGTCATCCCCTGGAACAGATGTAAGTGGACACGTAGATACTGGGAACTGAACCCAGGTTCTCAGCAGGAGCAACAAGTGCTTTGAATGACTGAACCATCTTTCCAGAGCATATACTACAGATTTTTCCTTTTTTGTTTTTGTTTGTCTGTTTTGTTTTGTTTTTGTTTTTGTTTTTCGGGACAGGTTTCTCTGTGTAACAGCCCTGGCTATCCTGAAACTCACTGTGTAGACCAGGCTGACCTCAAACTCACAGAAATCCACCTTCCTCTGCCTCCCGAGTGCTGGGATTAAAGATGTGCACTACCACCCAACTACACTGCACATTTTTAAGTTTCACAAGGCCCTCCAGAAGCAGAAATGGTTTTTAGCATTTTTCTCCTAGTCACTGAAATGTGTACAGTCCATATAGCTATACAGACTTTAAAAACAATGACTGGATTCATTTAAGTTATATGATGAAATTTCTTTTTAACAATGGCAAAATGTGCTGGATGGTGGAGATGCATGCCTTGAATCCCAGCACTCAGGAGGCAGAAGCAGGCAGATCTCTGTGAATTCCAGGACAGCCTGATGTACAATAGTAAGTTCCAGAACAGGCACCAAAGCTACAGAAAAACCCTGTCCTGAAAAACAAAGACAAAAACAAACAAACAAAAAAACAATGACAAAAGGCAATTTCCCCAGCTAAAAGAGAGGAACCAGATTATATTAACCGGCTCCTCCAAAAATAGTGCTCTAGCTTACAAGCCAAAAGCAAAGAAGCCGTATCTTCAGAGTTCAAACACACAGACTTCTACTCCACTGTAACCTTTGACACTGTGGTATTTACCATTTTAGAATACTTTGTGTAGGGCTGGAGAGATGGCTCAGCGGTTAAGAGCACTGCCTGCTCTTCCAAAGGTCCTGAGTTCAATTCCCAGCAACCATATGGTGGCTTACAACCATCTGTAATGAGTTCTGGTGCCCTCTTCTGGCCTGCAGACATACACACAGACAGAATATTGTATCCATAATGAATAAGTAAATAAATATTTTTAAAAAAAAGAATACTTTGTGTAGTAAACACATGCCTTTAGTGCCAGCACTTGGGAGGCAGAGGCAGGTGAATCTCTGTGAGTTCAAGGCCAGTCTGGTCTACAGAACAAGCTCCAGGACAGCCAGAGCTATGCAAAGAAACCCTGTCTCGAAATACAAAAAGCAAACAAAAAACTGTGTGACAAGTTGCTTGATGGTCAACCACTAACTTCAAAGAGAATAACACTTGTCTGCATGTTAGAAACTATGAAAAATGCCTCAACACAATTCAAGCTAAGGAACAGTAGTTCCACAGGATTACCGAGCCTAAATACTCAATTTTAAACCACAAGTGAGAACATTTCTGGGAGTAAAAGCAAATATTTGGCTCTTGGCCACAAAATTACCTATATATTTCAAACAAGACAAGAGAAAGAGTTAAAACTGGCAGATCTAAAACAAGACTATGCCTCCACCCACACAATGAAAATAAACGTAAAACTCTGTATTTGCTCTCTCAAAAGCTAAAATAAAAGAAGCACTGCAGAGTCAACACCAGTGGAGTGCTGTGTGCTCAAAGAACCGCGGTCTCTGTCCACCTCTTCCCAAGGTCCCCACTCCCTTTGCTGCATTTTAAAGGCAAAGTGTTGACTATATGCCTCAATCTTGAGGGGTTGGAAACACAGCTTATTCTTTTCCTTTTTAATCTTTATCTATTTACTTGGTTTTTTAAAGATTTATTTATTATGCATACAATTTTCTGTTAACATATATACACCAAAAGAGGCACCAGATCTCATTACAGATGGTTGTGTGCCACCATGTGGTTGCTGGGAATTGAACTCAGGACCTCTGGAAGAGCAGCTAGTGCTCTTAACCTCTGAGCCATCTCTCCAGCCCTATTTATTTATTTGTTATGTATACCATATTCTATCTGTGTGTATGCCTGCAGGTCAAAAGAGGGCACCAGACCTCATTACAGATGGTTGTGAGCCACCATGTGTGCTGGGAATTGAACTCAGGACCTTTGGAAGAGCAGGCAATACTCTTAACCGCTGAGCCACCTCTCCAGGCCCACGGCTTATTCTTTTTTTTTTTTAATTTATTTATTATATTTACAATATTATGTCTACATGTATGCCTTCAGGTCAGAAGAGGGCACCAGACCTCATTACAGATGGTTGTCAGCCACCATGTGGTTGCCGGGAATTGAACTCAGGACCTTTGGAAGAGCAGGCAATACTCTTAACCGCTGAGCCACCTCTCCAGGCCCACGTATTTATTTGTTATGTATACCATATTCTATCTGTGTGTATGCCTGCAGGTCAAAAGAGGGCACCAGACCTCATTACAGATGGTTGTCAGCCACCATGTGGTTGCCGGGAATTGAACTCAGGACCTTTGGAAGAGCAGGCAATACTCTTAACCGCTGAGCCACCTCTCCAGGCCCACGGCTCCCCACATTTTATTCTTAAAAAGATGTACTAGAAGCCGGGCAGTGGTGGCGCAAGCCTTTAATCCCAGCACTCGGGAGGCAGAGGCAGGCGGATCTCTGTGAGTTCGAGACCAGCCTGGTCTACAAGAGCTAGTTCCAGGACAGGCTCCAAAAAACCACAGAGAAACCCTGTCTCGAAAAAAACCAAAAAAAAAAAAGATGTACTAGATATGAAAAGTTTGTGAGGATTTCAAAATCTTGATGCCCAAATATGCTAAGGGGGGGAGGATAAACAAATCTGCAATAAATCACTTGACCATACTTACAGATTTTTCTAAAGCAATGGTTCTCAACCTTCCTAATGTGGCGATCCTTTAATACAGTTCCTCACTTTTGGTGACTGTAAGATTATTTCATGCCCCCCCAAAAGCTGAGCATCGATGGCAAATAGGCCTTTAATCTCAGAATTTAGCAGGCAGTGGCAGGCAAATCTCTCAGTTCAAGGCCAGCCTGGTCTACAGAATGAGTTTCAGGAGACCCAGGGTACAAGAGAAACCCTGTTTCAAAAAAAAAAAAAAAAAAAAAAGAGGCGATATTGGCAAAGGCCCAGTGTTATAATAGTATGTCTTTAGTCCCAGAATTTAGGAGACAAAGGTAGGTGGATCTCTGCAGTCTGGTCTAAATAGAGCTCCAGGCCAACCAAAGCTACATAGTGAGATGCTGTCTCAAGAAAAACCAAAACAACAAAAATACCACTTCTTACAATCATCACTATGGCCAAAATAATAAAACCACACACATACACCAGCAACAACAAAACAAAGTGGTCAACCAGGTGGTACTGGTGCACACCTTTAATCCCAGCACTTGGGAGGCAGAGACAGGAGGATCTCTGTGAGTTCCAGGCCAGCCTGGTCTACAGAGTTCCAGGACAGCCAGGGCTGCAAGAGAAACCCTGTCTCAAAAATTAAAAAAGAAAATTATTTTGTTGCTACTTCATACCTATAATTTTGCTACTGTTGGGAATCGTAATATAAATATCTGACATGGAGGCTATCTGATATGCAACCCCCAAAGGGACCATGACCCACCGGTTGAGAAATGCTGTTCTAAAACCACCAGAGGAAGGTATCGTAAGTTGGGAAACTGGTTGAAAACTATAAAAAACAAGATTCTCTCTCCCTAGCACACAGGACAAACTGTTCACCCACATATATAATGTCCTTTAAATCCAAGGCACTAAGCCACGCATGGTAGTGTACCAGCACTTGAGAGTTCAAGGCCAGCCTTGCCTACTTAGCAAGTTCTAGGTCAGCCAAACCTTCAGTAGTAAAAACCTGCCCCACCCCCCAAAAATTCCAAAGTATTACATGGGATAAATGAAACAAAAATTTGAATTGACACACCATATAGGACCAGAAATGATGACAGAGTAGTCATATCCCCAGCAAGCAACCCAGAACGTAGTATTATCATTTCTGTTTCCAAGTGTTGTCAGGCATTTGTTACTCAGTGGTCAGAAAAGAGAAGAGGCTGGGGATGTAGTTGGGTCATTCTGCATTTATCTAATATGTGTGAACCCACAAGTTCATACATACCAGCACCACAAAACAAAAAAACTAAATAACAGCATAAGTGATGTGTTTGCCGAAAAGAATTGCCAATGGAAATGAACTTCGCAAAAGTCCCACGCACGGTGGGTGTGTGAACTTATCTATCCAATTGCTTATACTGAAAGTGGAGTGTACTGGACATCAAAACAGATAAAATCCAGACCATCCGATTAAAGTGACACAAGGAAATTTGAAGAGGCAATCTATAATTACTCCTGGAGAAGACACTGATCAAGGATAGCCACAAATAACATTTGGCTCTAGACATAGCTCCACTATGTGTGAATAAGTTGGAGCCACTCAAAAGGATGGTACAACTTTGCTACCTCTAGCCCTGGAAAGTAGTGTAAGCCTTACCCTTGCATTGCTTACGATAGAGGGAAAACAGGGCAGAGTTTTTAAAGTCAGTCTCACCTTGCACACACCCCCCCCTCCGCACGGTAGTTCATTAGTGATGAATTACTTCATCCCATTCCTGTGGCAAACAGAAAAGCAGAATATCTATACAATACCAGTTGGAGCCATTATCGGTAGCAAGCATTACATCGCCCAGAAGTAAAAGAACAATGGAGAGTTCAAGTGGAAAAAGTTACAAAAACAGTTCAGTGTAAAGATTTGTGGGGGGGAAAATCTGTTTCTTTTACATAAATCTGAAAATATTTCCTTTCAGTAACAGATTACAAGTGTTCTTAAATCTCAATAAAGTCATCTTTTCAGCCCTGATCAGTCTTGCTTTCAAAAATTAAAAAGAGAGGAAGAGTAAAGGGGGGGGGGAGCTATTCATATGGTGGAGAGAGGACAAAATCAAGAACAAATTAGGCCAGATAACGTCTCCCTCCTTCCCCCCCCCCACCACCACCCCGCACCTGGAATTCACTATCTCTGGAGTTACACTTTTGATTATATTAATGGCTTGCCTGAAAAGTGTAAGTTCGCCATGAGAAAAAGAATGCCAATTTCGGAGTTCAACAAAAACTTACAAGGTTCCCAACCCAAAAGGAATCTGAAGACTCTGGCTTCCAGCCCTGTCTGAAAGGACCCTCAGCAAAGGCCAGGGGGCAGACGACTCAAATCGTTTGGGGAAGAAAAATCAAAGTTCCCGGTTAAGGCTGTGTCCAGCCCTTGGAAAAAGAGGCAGACAGAGACAGAGAGACACAGAGAGAAAGAGACAGACCTTGGAGGCCACTTTCTCCAGGAAGAGATAGTGGTTTTGTTTTTGTAGATGTGCTTACGGGCCACGCACGTCCCAGGAGTGGGGTGGGGAGGGGGCCCACAGTAAATCTTGGGCTCTGGGGCGCCCCCCTGACCCACTTTTCGTGGTGTCCCCTTCCCGGGGGGTCACCGCCCCACCCCAAGTGGAAGGGCTTACCCGGAGGGCTGCACTGCGCGCGCGGCGTGGGAGGCCGCCCGCTCCCCACCCTAAGCCGCGACCCCGGGGGGCGCTGGGCGTGCGGGGACTCCGGGGCGGCCCGTGCCCGAGCACCCTCGCGCGGGCTCCCGGGTCGCCCCGAACCTCGGGCGTGTGCAAGGACCCCCGGGCCACAGCCTGCGCGGCTGGCGCCTCAGCCCCCCAGCGGAAGGGAGAGGAGACTGAGGAGGGGAAGAAGCAGTAAACAGCTCTAGCGTCCGGGCCTCGCCTCAGAGAGAGCCCCGCTCCCCAGGCCCTGCTGCCGGCCGTCGGGACCCCCCGCTGTCCTCGGGGCCGCGCTGCCCGGGACCCGGAGCACCCGAGGAGAGTCCGGGCCTCTCCCCGGATGGCTCTGGAGGCTCCTGAAGCGACCCGGGCAGCGGAGAACGGGGAAGTCAGGACTTACCTGTCATTACTTTCTACGCCATCTTGGATCCACTTGTCAACGTCCCCACAAAGCATTATGGGTAAGAAAGAGCCTTTAAAGTGACTCCCCCCCCCCTCGGCCCCCGACTCCCGCCTCCTGCCGCCGGCGCCGCCCCCTCCGTCCGCACCTCCCTCCGGAAAGTTGGCCCCAGAGGCCCGCCCGGCCCCCTTCAGCGCCTGCGGGACTCCGCGGGGAACATCCCCCCCCCGCCCCGGATTTCCAACTGTGCCTTTGGGGTGCTCTCTTATCTCCCTGCCCGAGTCTCCCCTATCCCTTACGCGAACTGCTGTCTGCCCCGCCGCGATCCTGCCCGGGCATGCAGATACCCCACTTCTGCATTCAATCAACATGGGGTGTCCTGGACGCGGGTGACGAGCGAGCCGCTGGCAGATGCATGGATGCATGCAGGGATGCAAGGACGCAAGCATGAGCTGAGCACGCCTGCGAGCGGACCCTCAGCTCCGGGTCCTTGCTAACGCTCGCGCTTCCCGCCCCGGGGCATCCGCCACGCACGTCGCACCCGCGCGCGGGGACAGTGCCTGTATCCTGGGAAGCCACCCTGAGGCCCCCGGATTCCAGGAACTCTGTGAACGTCAGGAAAAGCGAAATTGGGGCTTGAGAAGGTTAAGCTAAATGCAGCTTTTACCCCGGGTTTACTCAGCCTCGCGCCGTCTCCCCTCGCCGGGTAATGTGATCCGCGACCCTCTAGGTCAGAGGACCCCTCCCCTAGGAATGTGGCTTTGGGCTCCGGCTCCGTCCGTCCTTGGGTTAGAATCCAAACTGCGGACTGTGACTTCCCCGAGCAGGTAACTCCGGGCAGACTCCGGGTGGGGTGTGGATGCGCTCCTGGGCCGGGAGGAGGGCCCCAGGGAAGGTGGGGGCAGTGCCTACCGCGTACCAACTGTCCTGCTCCCTCAAGGGCGGCGACCCCAGGCGGCCGGACAAGGTAGAAGGCGGGCGCCACGCTGGCTCGGGGCTGAGAGAGGAGGGGGATGTCCAGAGTGGCTCGGAGGCGACTAGGGCGCAGGAAGTAGGAGGCGACCGTGCGCCGGCTGCGGACCTCAGCGAGCATCCCGCGGGCAGCGGCTTTCTCGCCGCTAGACAAGCCGCGCGTGCTCTCCGCCCCTCCCATTTGCTTCGGGCGAGCGACACCTAGCTCAGGTGACCACCCCCCTTGCGCTCTGAAGTACCAGCTTCTTGCTGCCCTAGTCCTGCCAGAAATAGAGGTTTGTTGATTAACTCCCCACCCCCACCCTTTACGTTCTCTTCCCAAAACCTCCAGTGTAAGTATTGCTGAGTTTGAGGACTCCTGCCTACCCCGAACAAGATTTGGTGTCCAGAAGAAAATCCTCCAAGACTTTTCGGGTAGATCCTGTGCTTAGCTTTCGGGAGAGTTTAATCCCCGGGGTGGGGGTGGGGGAGTGCTATTCCCCAACACACCAAAGCATGCGAACAAAATGCTGCTAAATGGCTCTGCAAAATCGAAAAAAATGTAAGCGCGGGCATCGGCTCGTGCACACCCTCTTTTCGATGCAAGGGGAGGGTCCTGGGTCTGCCTTTTTTAGTCAGCTCTGGATCCACCAGAGGTGTCTGGAGCCACCTGGGTGGTTGCTGACAACCTCTGCCCCTAGGGAGCCTAAAGCTCCACCAGTCTATTGTCCCAGCCTGGAGAGTGGGTGAGGTGTGGACTCATTAAGGGATTGGCCCCGGGGTCACTCTTGAGGGAGGGAGCAGGTGAGTCATTCCCAGCGGACTAGGAAGAGGCGGTCTTGGGAGGAACCTCCCCTGAGTCACCGCTTTTCAGAGCTTCTACGAATCTCCAATGGTGTTGGGAACTGGAGCCCAGAGCTCTGGATACCTCTCTAGGGCGGTCAAAGGTATCCCCTGCTAATGAAGGCTCCCAAGTCCTGTTTCCAGAGTTGCTCCTCCTCCTCCAGTTCCTGCATTTCTTTAGCCACTAGGATGCAGTAATATAATGATTGGCAACTTTAAGTGGGCGATCTGAGCTTCCTTGTAAGTAAGTAATCAACCGAAGAGCAAGAGCTGCTCCTGCCAGACTGCCTCTTTGGTAGGTAGTCTTTCTTTGCTTTAGAAAAGCTTTGGCCCAGGGCTGGAGGGATGGCTCAGTGGTTAAAAGCATTGCCTGCCCTTCCAAAGGTCCTGAGTTCAATTCCCAGCAACCACATGGTGGCTCACAACCATCTGTAGTGAGGTCTGGTGCCCTGGTGATACACACAGACAGAATATTGTATACATAATAAATAAATAAATATTAAAAAAAAAAAGAAAGAAAAGCTTTGGCCCAAAGACAGACTTTGTTTATGTCACTGCTTCTATGACAGGTTCCTGTCCAAGATGCCACCTGTTACCTGGGCCAAGAGGACCCGCCTAATTCTCGTGCTCTCAGCCTGCCTCTTATGTCCTGATGTCCATCTGGATGAATTTATGAGATGCAAATCATGTGACTCCCCCTTAAGTCTTCTGCATCACACTTGAAAGGAGCCTAGGTTCCCAGCCACGGCCTGCCACCTCAATGCCAGGCCAGCTCAATGCCCTTGCACAGTCTTTCCTTCCTCCATGATGAGGCCAGGGTGCTCTCCCTCTCCCCTGCATCACCCCAGGCTTTCCTCCCCTGAGAAAACTGTTTCCCTCAATCTGCCAGTGATCGTCTTGTCATCCTTCAAGCCTCTGTTGGCATCACGCCTCCAAGAGGACCTTTGTGATGCCCTTAAATGGAACAGTTCCCTCTATCCTACGAATGTCCTTGGGAATTGTCTTATCAATTTGTTTTATTATCATCTGACCCACTCACATCTGTGTTGTACTATCTTGCGAGTGGGGCCATGATATAGATACTTAGTGAATATTCGGGGAATTAATGACTTGCTGTTATCAGCACAAGGCGATAAGGAGAGGGGGTGCTGATGTCTGAAGTGGACTGACCGACCACCTCTTCAGATTGCTCCGATCCTATTCAGTTAGGGACCCAATGGGAACCGTGTTGTGGGGCTCCTCTTGGTTCTCTTCTGTTTCTGAGCTAGTTGACACCAGCAGCACCGATTCCCTCCTCGCATCCCTCTTCCTTCCATGTCTTCTCTCTCCTCCATCACCCACGGCCACACCTGATTAGTTTGAATGCCAAGTCAGTCTTTAGGCCTCTCTTCAATTACATTGTCTAGGCATCTCTTTCTGGGATTCAAATCTTTACACCCGAAAGGAATTCCTGAGTCTCTTTACAACACTCTCATGATTTCCCCCAGTGGGAGATCTTGGCCTACAACATCTTGGTATCTCGCACAGACACGTCACACCCAGTGTTCTTACAACTCAGTGTCTTCCTTTTGCTCCTCCTCGTCTTCTTCTTCTTCCTCTCTTTTTTCTTCTTCTACTTCCTGTCTTCCTCTTTTGGGAGCTGGCTCTAATTTACACAGGCAGGCCAGAAACTTGCTATCTAGCCAGCAATAACCTCAGCTCCTGTTCTTCCTACCTCTGCCTCCTCCCAAGTGGTGAGATTACACATATCTGCCACCAGGCTCACCTGACTGCAGTTCAGTTCAGTCCGTTCCTTTGACTGGTTGGAGTGTACCATATGTGTGCATGGGCACATCTCTACGTACACATGGTAAGGCAAAGAAGAACATCATAGATGTTTCCATTAGACTGCCTGGCAGGAAGCTTCCAGAACCTGCATGTCTCTGCTCTCCAACACCAGAGTTATAGACACACACCCTATTCCCGGCTTTTTATCTGTGCCTGCTGGTGATGTGAACTCGGACCGCCATGTTCGTACAGCAAATACTCTTACCCACTGAGCCGTCTTGTGGGAGTCAGTTCTGTCCTACCAGAGGGATCCTCGGGAGCAATATCAGGTCAAGAAGCTTGACAACAGGCACCTCTACCAACTGGGCCATCTTGCCAGCCCTCTTTTTGGTTTTGTTTGTTCGAGACAAGCTCTCACTATGGAAGTCAGGCTAGCCTGGAACTCAGTCACCCTGCCTCACTCCTCTCAGTACGACCTGTAGCTTCACTCCCAGCTCTTTGACCTCTGTTCTAAGAGTCTACCTGGCTCTCACCTTTGTGTCCAATACCTTAGATTCTCCACTCGCTTCTGAACATGCCATTCCCATGTTCCTGTAGCAGCTGTGGGGAGTTGCTGCTGTCTCTCTGCCTTATTTGGCAGTGCAGTGTTCCTACACAGAAGCCATAATTTGTTCCCTGCTTTTTTTTTAAGAAGGCATTTTCACCTAACGTAATAGGTCATTTGTTTACACCTGCAGAGGAAGATAGGCCTCATTATAGCCCTAAAGTTGTTTCAAGAATAATTCTGCGAATAGGGACTGAGTAGATGGCTCATCAGTTAAAGCAAGCATGAAGGATAGGGTCACCAGAAACGCAGATAACGCCCAGTGGGCACGGTAGCCTATGTGTAATTCTGTCCTCAGAAGGTGGGGACAGGAAGTCTATGAAGAAACAATGGAGCCAGACTTGGTAGAGCACACCTTTAATCCCAGCACTCAAGAGGGAGAAGCAGGAGAAGCTTTGTAGATTCCAGGACAGCCTGGTTTCCATAGTGTGTTCCAGGTCAGCAGGAGCTACCTAGTGAGACCCTGTCAGAGAGAGAGAGAGATAGAGAGAGAGGGAGGGGGAGGACTGGTTGTTGGTGGCACACACCTTTCATCCCAGCACTTGGGAGACTGAGGCAGGCAGATACCTTTGAGTCTAAGGCCAGCCTGGTCTACAGAATGGGTTCCAGGACAGCCAGGACTACACAGCAAGAAACCTTGTCTAGAGAAAGAAGTACAAGATGGCTCACTGGTTAAAGGTGCTTGCCGCCAGACCATACAACCCTGACAACTTGAGTTTTTCCCAGGATCCATGTAAACATGGAAGGAAAAAAAAAACACTTAAAAAACATGTTCTTGGGGCTGGAGAGATGGCTCAGTGGTTAAGAACACTGCCTACTCTTCCAGAGGACCCGGGTTCAATTCCCAGCACCCATGTGGCAGCTCACAACTGTCTGAAGATCCATTTCCAGGGGATCTGACACCTTCATACCAATGCACATAAAATAAAAGTTAAATAAACTATAAGAAATGGTTTTTTTTTTAAATGTCCTCTAATCTCCATAAGTGCCGCAATGTGCTCTTCCCCACCACACACACACCATAAACACGAAATCACAATTTAAAAAAGCAAAAACCTGTGGCTGCTATTGATGTGTAACATTCTACTTATATATGTACTATGTAAATACACATACACACAAGTGTGTGTGGTATGTATAATTTCAATTTTTGGAAACCTTTACTGTCAGCTTTGGAAAAGGCTTTAACATGTTGGGTTGGCATTGTGCAGAAATTAACATCCATAATTGGTATAGAAAAGTTAATTATCCCATTTGTACAGGAACAGCATTGTATTAAATATATACAGTCTTACCTATGTGGGTTTGAGTAAAGAAACTAAGAAAGTAGCCTCTAAATAATTGGGAAAAATAAACTTAAAAATAACAGATTAGAATGCTGGAGAGATGGCTCAGCAGTTAAGAGCACTGGCTGCTCTTCTAGAGGACCCAGGTTCAATTCCCAGCACTCACATGGCAGCTCACGACACCCATGGCAAAACACCAATACACATAAAATAAAAGTAAATGATTTTTTAAAAAAGCCAAACCATAATGATAATATACCCAATTAACCAAAAGGTATAATAATTTGAAGTTTTTGTATATTTATACAGATAGCCTCAAAGCATAGCAAGAGAAAGAAGATGGAATTGCAAGAAGATACAGAAAAGTCTACAGTAGACGTTATCTCTATCCCTAACTATTAGGACAAAATTAATAGGTGTGAACATATGGGTGAGCACACTTTAACCAACTGGACAGGTATAGGTAGGACAAGGCACCCCCAACTGCAGCTCACACATTCTCTATTGCACATGGAATGCTTTTGATGCTAGAGCTAGAACAAGACCCAACAAATTTCAAATGACTCAAATCACACAGAGTACATTCTCAGAAAATGATGCAACTTAGTCAGAAAATAGGAATTTTGAAAAGGTAAATAGAAAATATCTGTGTCTTAGTCTGCTTTCTAGTACTGTGATAGCACACTATGACAAAAAGCAACGTGGAGAAGAAAGGGTTTATTCAGCTCAGGAATATCCTGAGTGAACCCATTGAGAGAAGCCAAGGCAGTAACTCAGGTAGGGGAGGAATTGAAGCAGAGGCCATGAAGAAATGTTGCTTCATGATTTGATCTTCATGGCTTGCTCACCCTTTCTTATGCCATCCAGGACCTTCTTTCAGAGATGGTACCACCCACAGTGGACTGGGCCCACCCACATCAATCATTAATCTAAAAACTGCCCTCCCTGCAAGTCTAGCCTGGTGGTGCACACCTTTAACACCAGCACTGGGTAGGCAGAGGCAGGCTGATCTCTGTGAGTTTGAGGTTAGCCTGGTCTACATAGCAAGTTCTAGAACAGCCAGGCTATCTATTGAGACCCAGTCCTCTCCAAAGGAGAGAGAGAACGAGAGAGAGAGAAGAAAAGAAAGGGAAAGGAAAAAGAAAATGTCCTATAGACACTCTGACAGAGGCATTTTCTCAATTGAAGTTTCTTCTCTTAGACAATTCCAGCTTCTATCAAGTTGACAAAAACAAAAACTAACCAGGACATTATTGTTGTGGAATAAACTTTTTGTACACTGTGAAAATTGGTCTTTGCCAAGGGGCCTTCTGATTCGTTTAATAAAGAGCTAAATGGCCAATAGCTTGACAGGAAGAGGTGAGGCAGAACTTCCAGACAGAGAGAGAGAAGAAAGGGAGCTGAATCTGGGCCTGTGAGATGCTACCAGAGAGGAAACTGGAGGTGCAAGATGGAAAAGGGGTGAAAAGCCACAGAGTGAACAGAGATGAATATAAATGAGTTAATTTAACGTCTAAAAGCTAGTGGAACAAGCCAAAGCTATAACCCAAGCTTTCATAATTAATAAGTCTCCACATCATTTTTTGTGAGCTGGCAGCCCAAAGAAAAATCTATCTACACATTATGTATTTAGAAACTGTATTTTTTTTTTCGAGACAGGGTTTCTCTGTGAAACAGTCCTGGCTGTCCTGGAACTCACTCTGCAGTACCAACCTGGCAGTCAAGATGTGCCCCCTGGTGAAAGAGCAGCTTGACTCTGGTGGTGGTAGCCAACCGTTGCCTTATTGAATGTGCTGCGTGCCCCACTGGTGACGATGCATGCCTAGTGCCTTAAACCTGATCAAAAGCCCAGGGCTGGACCAGGTGGTGGTTGCTTACACCTTTAATTCCAGCACTGGGGAGGCAGAGACAGGAGGATCTCTAAGTTTGAGACCAGTCTGGTCTACACAGCAAGTAAAACATTTTTTAAAATAAAAGAACTGAAGAAGAAAAAAACACCCTCAGATTTAGAACATAATGAAATCCTACAGATCAATGAATGACAAGGGAAGAAAATAGGTAAAAGGCTAACAGGCAATTTATCAGAAAGAATAGACAAAGGACCAATAACAAGTACTCAGCCTCACTAGTCAGAGACATAAAAACTAAAGCCATGATGAGCCATCGCTGCACCCCATACAAGCTCCAGGATGTGAAAGACTGACTCTAATCTCAATGTCACTGCAGATGTTTGGGTCAGAGCCCTAATAGCCAGGCTGGACCACCCATCCTCCACAGTGGTGAGCAACAGAGAGAGGAGGTTTGGGAAGAACACATAAAGAAACCCACTGAGCTCCCCAGTCCATCTTCAGAGTCTTGACATAGGTTTACTTTTCAACAGAGGACAAGACGTATGTATGTAGGACATTCCCAGTCAAGGTGGACATCCACACCCCGTCATTCTCTCTCCTCCAAGGGATCTGATGGTGGCAGAAACGTATGAAGTCTTTGGAGGAGGCAAGTTTCCCTCTGGCTGGCAGCGGGAGCCTTCTTCACCCAACATGAGATCCCAAGTCCTTGAGGGCCATTGTTTAAATAATCTGATAGCCAAAGGGAGGGAACATGTCTCTCCAGAACATCTTGTTCCTCCCAGGACAGTCGGTCCCACACAGAGTGGTACTGAGGATGTAAAACAAGAAATCTCTCAGATATAACTGGTGGGTGAAGGTGCCTTAGCAAACTAATAAGCCAGCATCTTCTCAAGGTGAAATCTAGAGAAGTCCTCGGTGGAAACCTATGCATCCCGAGACATGTTCAGGTGTAAACAAATGACCTATTACGTTAGGTGAAAATGCCTTCTTAAAAAAAAAAAAAAAACAGGGAACAAATTATGGCTTCTGTGTAGGAACACTGCACTGCCAAATAAGGCAGAGAGACAGCAGCAAATCCCCACAGCTGCTACAGGAACATGGGAATGGCATGTTTGGAAGCGAGTGGAGAATCTAAGGTATTGGGAACAAAGGTGAGAGCCAGGTAGACTCTCCGGCTCCTCACTGGTAGACCGACCCCTCCCTTACCCCAGCATGGATGAGGCTCTGGGTGTGATCCCTAGCACCACCAGAAAAGAAGAGAGAGAGAGAGAGAGAGAGAGAGAGAGAGAGAGAGAGAGAGAGAGAGAGAGAGAGAGAGAGAGAGAGAGAGCCGTCAAGATGGCTCACTGACTCAGGTGGTGGTGGCACACGCTTTGATCCTAGAACTCAGGAGGCAGAGGGAGGTGGAGCTCTCCCGAGTTCAAGGCCAGCCTGGTCTACAAAGGAGTTCTGGGACAGGTTTCAAAGTTACACAGAGAAACCCTGTCTCAGAACAACAACAACTTGGAACCATTTAGGAATCCTTATCCATTCTCTTGACTTCCCTCTGGAGGCAGCCATGGGCCTGAAATTTTGGGGGCCATAGTCTTCTTGCCAAACATGTGCTGGTTGATTGAGCATTTTGGTTTTGTTTGCATTCTGAACTTTATACAAGAGGTCTCACTGCCTGGGCTCAGGTGCAACTAGAGTGTTTGTCTCAATAGTTGGGGAAACTCCTTTCTGTTTACCGCTTACTGACTGCAAACCAGTCTACAGCTCTCTCATCCTTTTGCACATTCTCTCTCTCTCTCCCTCCCTCCCTCCCTTCCTTCATTTCTCTCTTACCCCCCCCCCATTCCCCAAGACATGGTTTCTCTGTGTAGCCCTGGTTGTCCTAGAACTCATTTTGTAGACCAGGCTGACCTCAAACTCACAGAGCTCCACCTGTCTCTAACTCCCAAGTGCTGAAATTAAAGGCGTGCGCCACTACTGCCCAGCCAATGCTTGCAAGTTTTTTTTTTTTTTTAATTGCACTTAGCTCTTCCTTTTGAGTTTTTGTTTGCTCTGGTTTTGGCTTGGGGAACGTTGGAGTTTTGTTGTTGTTGCTGTTGTTTTTTTTTGTTTGTTTGTTTGTTTTTTTGAGACAAAGTCTTTCTAGGAGGTCCAGGTTGGTCTCAAACTTGAGATCCTCCTGTCTTAGCCTTCAAAGATCTGAGATTATTGGCATGTGCCACCTCCACATCCGATGATGGTGTAGTTCCTGAACAGAAGTTTTCTAGCAAAGGTCTCTGCTCTGTGATAAAACAGTGAGCTGTATTTCACACATTTTTCATTAAAGGGATCAGATTTCACAATAAAAAAAAAAAAGATTAAAAGGATTGAGGTGGGTGGTCCTCGGACTTCCCACAGGACAGGGAACCCTGATTGCTCTTTGAGCTGATGAGGAGGGGGACTTGATGGGGGAGGGGGACTTGGTCGGGGGGAGGGGAGGGAGATGGGAGGCAGTGGCAGCGGGGAGGAGACAGAAATCTTTAATAAATAAATGAAAAAAATAAAAAAAAAGATTAAAAGAGGAGCTGGGCATGGTAGCACAGACCTTTAATACTAGCACTGGAGGGGTAGAGGCAGGTAGATCTCTGAGTTCAAAACCAACCTAGTCTACAAAATGATTTCTAGGACAACCAGGGCTACACAGAGATACCCTGTCTTGGGGAGTGGCGGTGTGTGTAAGAAAACAGAAAGATGGTGTTAAAATATTGGACTCATTGTGGGCAGAGTCACGTGGTTTCCACATTTGTGCATTTTGTGCATTACCAAACTCATCCTCAACACAAGTTGCCGCCTTTCGTTCTGCAAGGTACTGCAGGGAGGTCCTAACTGATCCACTACTCCCCAGACAGATTGTGTTTGGGAAAAATGATCTGGGAGATGAGGTGTTAACTACAGTAAAAGATCCTGTAAGCAAGGTTGGATCTCCCCTGCTCCTCTCCAGGAGGGCATCTCAGTCCAGCTAGAGAGAAAGCAGTAGTAAATACAATGTGACCATCATCTATCTGCCTGCTCCAGAGCAGGCAGGAGCTCACAAAGGGGCTGAGGCAGGGAGGAGGCAGCCCTATCTTCCTTTGGGTGATAAAAGTGTTTTAGAGGAAGATAGGGATGATGGGGGCACAGTAAGGACTGTGGGTTTGCCTGAAATCCTGCTGAGCTATGACCTTAACTATCACTAAGTGTCCTTGTTTACATAGAGTCTTGCTTGTGACACTGACTGGTCCGGAACTCAGTATGAAGACCAGGCTGGCCTCGAACTCATGAGCTAGCCTTCCTCTGCTTCCCAACTGCTATGATCAATGGCATATGCCACAATGCCCAGCCTGAAAATAGCCAAGATTTTGGTAGAGCATTTGCCTGATATGCACAATACTCTGGGTTCAGTCCACAGCATTGCAAGAAATTAGTTAGTTAAATGAA